CATCATCCTACAGTAAGCAGCAGGGGGATACTAATCTTCTGCACTAGCACTTCAATTTTCTCATTACAAAAATTGGCTTCATCTTCCTGGCTCAGCAAACCCTGATCAGTGTCGCTCAGACCTTGGGGGCCACAGACTGGGAGCAGCGAGAGAAGAAGCAGCGCCAACTGCAACAGCAGATATTTTAGCAACAGCTGTCTGGTTTTGTATGCTCCTCCTGGATATCAGTTTGAATGCTCCAGTTTAGCTGGCTTGAGGTGTTTGTCCCCACTACATATTATAGAGCCAAGAGGATGCTCTTTAGAATGGAGTAACAAGAACTGTCAGAACAGCTCAGCAGATTGTTAGCATCTTCATACATTCTCAAAGCACTGAAAGAGTAATCAGAGCAATGATAAAAACCTAACAATATAGGTATGCAGCTATAAACCAAAATGATCTTAAAATCATGCTTTACATTTGTACTGAGGCTTGTATACAGTGCATTTTACTATTCTTAAGTTTCATGGCATATCTGAGAGGAGAGTTCATAAGCCCTGTTGTGATAATGTGAAAACTGAAACAGAGCAGTCCATCTTCCATGCAGTGTCAGTGAGTGAGTAAATGGCACAATGGGAAATAGCAGCCAAGCTCCTTAGCTTTCAGCTTCACGCTCTAACCACTGGTCTATTCAAGGGACTGAATGGGTCATTTATTCCTGAAGTATACTTTCCACTTCAGTGTTCACATGCAACTGCTGTGTAGAGACAGAAATTAAAAACACAGGAATGCCTATTAAATTCCTCTGGTTTTGTATGTTTAGGAAGGTATAGGGCTCCCTACGCCCAGAACTGTGAGTACTTACACATAGTAGTAACAGTCCAGGTAATAGGCCACTGGGTGAGATAATTATATGATTTCCCATGGCATCTCCTAGGTCTGCAAAATCAGGTCTTAATTATCATGAAAAATTATTATTTCTGTTTTGGAATAAAAATTGAAAAACAGAAGATACATTAAAATAGTAAAAAAATATATATCTCTCTTATTAATAAAGGAAAGTATCACAATAACACTAATAGTTCTCCTGTAATGGCTGTTGTTTTCACATATGCTTTGTTGCTCTTTAGGCTCTGGTCTTGTAAGTGCCATGAAAATTCTTACAGGTTTCGCATGCCATCAGCTCCAATTTCATTCATTTTGGCAAGGCTTAATTGTGAGGTTTCCATTTTGTCCACTAATTTATGTCAAGTGGATCACAAGTATTCATAATAACCAATTTCATCTCTTCAGAAAAATGTTACTTCTTTCCCTGAACAAAATACTTTGTTTTTCAAAGCTGTACTTTAATAACTGCCTTTAAGTTCTGCAGGAACACAATATAACAGCTGAGTTCTAAAAACTGGAATAATGTATCTAATAAAATTTCCTACAATTTTTTGAGAGGTAAAATGTAATTACCTCACTTGGAATTTGTCCAAAATCTAATATTAACACTCTCCTTTCACAAAGGCACCAAGAGTAGTGTTTCAGAACTTCAGCTTATGTTCCCTTTCAAGCATGTGACCCCAGTAAATTATAATAATGAACTTAATGTCACTGATTCTTGAAGATCATCTGTGCATCAGCAGTTCTTTCAAACGGTCACCTAAAGATGTCTTCATCCCTGCCTGGGTTAATTTTCCTGGGAAAATTCTCTTAGAAGCGTTCTAGCCAGAGTTCTTGGCTGGAATTGTTCCTGACTCTATTAAAAGAAATAATTACAAATAAAAATGTTGAAGCTACAAGGAGCTATAGCATTATGAGTTGGTGGAAAACAGGGAACCAAAGTATTTGTAGGACTGTTGTCCTTTATATTCTCTCAGGTATGTAATGTTTAATGTGACTGTCATGCAATGCTGACAGACTGTTTTTTTTAAAAAATGTGCAATTTAGTTTCCCATAACACACAGAGAGAAATAAGCTATGCTTTGAAGACAGCAAACAACCTTCTTCTCCCCTTCTCCATGTTATCTGTGTTATACTTCTAACTGTGAAAGAAAAAAACAAAGACAAAATTGAATAATCTTTTGATCTCATGAAAGAGTATCTACTGAGACCCTCCTGATCAAAATGGGTAGTGATAAAGACACAACCTCTGAAGAGCACAAGGGGAGTGGATATTTACTACAGATCTTCTAACTTGGGTTAATGTTAATTGTAAATTTTCAGAAATGCTGTGGATCTAGAGGCGACTAGAAGAGGATTTCATGAGAAGCATGAACAGTGTATTTAACCACTTGTTAAAATAAAATAAAAAACCCTGAAATGCATTTTATTTTCAAAAGTATTTCTGTTTCTATTAACAACGAATTATTTATAGGAATTCTGCTGTCCTTGTAGTATTTTCAGACACAAACTAAAGCCCTTGGGGAAAATTACAGCTCTGCATAAAGACACACAACATACTTTCTGACTGTCTTCAATTTTTTATTTTACTCTTTCCTGTTTAAGGCATATAGCCAGGGAAAGACATAGTACTATATTGTCTTGGTGACCAATCCCAGATGATTAATTAGAACTTTGAAATCACTCGGAAATCACAATATCATTAATAAACAACTCACAAACAACACCTTTGCTGAAATACAGTCATATTAAAAGCTTCTCAACGTACACTGAGTAACAATTAAAATCTTTTAAAAGTCTGTCTGATGATAATTCCTTAGCTAAAAACATGGCCCAGTGCTGCTTCTGAATAGTTTTTAATTATAGGATTTCTTCACAAACCAAAAGCTACATACAGCTCCCTGCAATCACCCAGGAACACTGGCATAAGATTATTTTATCTTCTATATTACTACTGGGATTATTTTATGCTGTCTCAAGCTCATCCGAGGAGCTCTTCACATTCTAAGACAGCCTTATCTTATTAACATGTGTGAACTCATACCACTGCAGACATGCTGAGTAGAAACAGAAGATCTTTTGGCATAAAACTCTTAGAGACATGATCTCTCTTTACTGCCTGTTCACCATGGCAGATTTCTTTACAGGTCATGGTGATACCATTTCTCAGTTAAGGTACTGTCCTCTGCTGGAGCTTTGACAAATAAAATTAGCCTTACACATACACATCCAAAGCCATAAATGTGTGTGTCTTGGCAACCATGTTATCACCCATTTAGTATCCAAGCTACAGTTTCCAAGTGGTCGTATTCTAAGCAGACACTTTCCAAACCCAACAGTAGCTTTCTTATGCTGCCCCAGAAAGAACTTCCTGTACACACTGGTAAATCTACCTTTGCAGTGATGTACAAGAAAAAAAGTGACAATAATTAGATTGACGACATGCCCAGAATACAGAATTACTGATGAGGGTAGGAGGGTGGGGGTGGATGGGTAGGAACTTTTCCCCTATCCTGTTTTTTACCTGCATTAAAATCTATCTGAAGTAATACGTCTGTAAGAAAGGGAGAGTGAGGGTATTCATGACTGTTTACAGAGCAATTTCTCTTCTACCCACCCCTGTTCGTTGTGATGATGCTGTCTGGCAGCTGTGGAGGTGTAGCTCACCATCAGGATCAGTGCAGCCAGAGACACTCAGCCTTTTCTGTGCATAAAACATGTTGTCATGGGAAAGGCAATGAGCTACGCAGGTGACCTAAAAAAAACCAACCCAACACTGGCTGGCAGAGAAACTTTGCTCAGGAAAGGGAAAGCATTTGGAAATCCTGGAACAGCTGGCAGATGGGAGGCAGGGGGTTAGGCAGGACATTTCTTACAAGTTGATCACTGCAAGTTGATCTGTCAATTTGACGGCAAGCAAAACCTAAACAGATTGCAGTAAAACTCAGAAGAGTTGGTTAGGGTTAGAATTTGGGCTGCTAGTAGGAGCTGACATGGTTTTCAGCTATGGGCAAATGATAGCTGTGTGCTTCAGAACTGAAAAATATCCTAGGATTACTGATGTCAAATGAATTAATTTCTGTAAATCAACTGAGCTTAGAGATGAGAGCAGGCAGTGAGAGAAAACTGTACTGGAAAACTTTTCTTATTATTCTCCAGTCCAAATAAGAATGAGAAGATCATTTGACTGTTTTGGCTTCTGTGTGATTATGTTTATTTAAAGAAACAGAACACTATTTAATTATGTATGTGAACACTTGGAACATATAATTACTACCCAACAGGCAAACTCTGTTTGGGTTTGTTGGAATGCCAATGGGCTTTTATTAGTTCAGCCCATCATTTTGTTGTGAAATGGAAACGAAAAGTGGAAAATATGTTTTCCTTCTCTAGGGATCACTTCAGCTCCTTTTTCTCTTTATTTTATCAGACTTCTTGTTGCTATGGGGGTCTTGAAGGCCTATTATTAAAACACCCTGCAGTCCTAAGGGAAGAAAAGCAAGCTGGTGCTGCAGATGGGAACAGTGTGAATGGAATAAACTATAAGCACGAAAGAATTCAAATAAATGCAGTAAAATCTATGCATTATTCTCTTTTCTTTCCAAAGTTCTGTTGGAGTTTCTGTCTTTTACCTTTCATTTTTTGTTAATATGGCGTAACTCAGTGCCATCCAAATATAAAACCACAAAAGTAAAACACAAGTTAGTTATGCTGGCTCTTCTTTGCTGTCCTTTGGCACAAAACAAGTTAAATCCAAGTTAATCTATTCTGTACAGACATCCAACCTGCAGCAGGACTGTAATTAATATAAAATACTCATAATAGAAATGACATCTTCATAGCTGTTTCAGAAAAAGAAAGCAAAAGATACAAGAAACACCTACTCGACAATTAAGCAGTGGTTTAATCTACAGGTTAAGCTGATTAAAAATTCACCAGAAAGTAGTTTTTATGATAATTTCATCATCACATTCAAACAAATTCTGGAAAATAAGTAAGATAGCCATCAGGATCTTTTTTATATTAAGCCTTGCAAGAATGAAAACTTTGATTCAGGTAACACATAAGCTTTCTGGAACTTAGTTACAATTGATGAGTACTTACCATATTTCTATTACTTCTCTTTTCTTTAGATGTATGCAGTAAATTTTTACCATGGCCAAAGAACGCCCACGTGCACTGATTAAGATGACAATATTGAACATTAGGTGAGCCACAGTCTTCTAAAAATTGGAGAAAAGGCAAGTCAAGTTATACAAGAGGAATGCATCAGAAGAAACAAAGACATTTCCTGTACTTCAAAGACAGCATCTACATTACAGAGAGTCAAAGAATATTTTTAATTACAAAATGATTCCTGATCAACTGTAGACCTGTTAGCACACATTTCTGAAGGCTAGGAAAGAAATCTGCAGCATAAATTGGATTTTTTTCTGGAATAGGAGAAGCATGTTTCCTCCTAGAAAGTCATATGAACTTCCATAAGAACTTCCAGCATTTCCTCAATTTCAAAAGACATGCTGATTTGAGAAATACTAGCTTTATCTTGGAAACGTTTCATTCCTCATTCACATCATTGTTCTTAACCTCAGCTATGGTACTGTATTCTTTTTAACCTTGATCTTTTGCCAAGAGGCTCCACCTGAAACGCATTCACTTTCATCAGTTGAAGTGTGTTGGGTCCCTGCAATGGAGTTGGAAAAATTTTGTAGATGTTTCTAGAAGAATTATACAAATGCATACACAAGAACAGGATTTTTAAGGTACTAAATTATGCATCAAAAGAGGCAGTACTTCTCTTAAAGCTGTTCCTTAAAAAAAACTATTGCATGCCTGCACAAAACAACACCTGTTGCTACCATTTCTATATTATAACATTCATGTAAACATATTGGGAAAAGGAGTACCTGCTAAATGTGAAAACAGTGGCTACTAGGAAACAAAGGAGAGACAACTAGAAAGGACCCTGGGCTTACCAAAGTAAATACTTACATACTCCTCTAGAAGACAAAATATGCTTTTCACACTTCTTTTTCTACATGCCTACATTGATTCCGTTTTTGAGACAATTCACCTTGAAAGGCACAATAAGTACGGCTTTGCAGATCCTCTTCTAAAAATGCTTTTAGTATGGGTGGCCATCAGGACTATGTGAATCACGGAAGTTATGTTTCTGCAGCTGAACAAAAAGATTGGAAGAAGAAAAAAAATTATATTTTGTGCCTAGTCAGAATGAATACTCTGTTAGGACTTCTTTGTGATTTTGGATTTTTTTGAGAGAAACACAGGCACTATGAAAATGATACCACAGTGGCTACACAACTACTTGCAGCACCATGCAAAATGAGCCTGGAAATACTGCTACTGCATTAGGTACAATACTTCCATACTACCCACCCTATGTCCATATGCACTTTATTCACATCTCCCGGTACAGAAATACATCACAGATTTTATTACGAAGTACCTTATGCACACTTGTAAGTTTGTTTGCTTCACTCTTCCCTGACCCACAGAGGCCTAAATCTTTACATGATAATTTTTTGGGTTTGATTTAATTTAATTTAATTCAAGTACATAAATAGCTGCAAAATACCATAAGCAACATATTGCTCAGCTCCTTCCCATAGGCAGTGTCCAGCTCTGAGGCCTTCCACGGAGAAAAGCTCTTTCCTGGGTGACTAACAAGCACTCAACATGAAATTGGTTCGTGAGAGTCATAAAAGAAGTAATCTTGCCCCAGAGTCACATACATTATGTTCATAGCACATACCTGTCATTATATGGCACTAAACGTATTGGAATGAACTGATTTCTTTAACTTTCCCAGATCTATATTAAAATGGATAAAATACTCTGAAACCTTTATCATCAAAGAAATGTTCTTGAAAGCTTTTTTGCATTATACCTTCATAGTTCCAATGCGTAGTGCAAGACTCAGGGGCTCCTTCACTTTATCATTAATTTGCACCATAACTAGCTACACCAACACTAACTAACCATACTTGCTATAATCTAATTCTAGAACAGCTGAAGGGAAAATGTAAAGCTGATATTGTGTTTTTTTTTTCTTTTTTAATTATTTAAGAAAGCAGTGGGGGGGCAGAGGAAGTTGAGGGTGGGGGTGATAAAATGTTGTCAGCACCAAAAATTTTACGTAACTCTGTCTTAACACTGAGGAAAATCCAACAGTATGGTGAAAGGAAATATAAATGTAAAATATAAATTTAACTGTAAAAGAGTAGGAAGTCTGGACAAGGTATTACAACCTTTACTATTTTACCATTGTGGACACTTTGACGGTAAGGCAGAATTAAAAAGGGCCAATAGAAACAGAAATGCAGATTATTTCATTCAAATCTCAATTGATAATAAAAGTAAACTCTCCCTGGTTAATTAGAATCAGTGATTCCACTAAAGTTGTTTCAACTCCTGCCATAAAATATCTCCTTTTTCAAAACATACGTGGATATTGGGCAGAGTATAGATTGCAAGTTGTACTAAGATAATTGAGTCTTTCAGGAATGTGGCTACCAATAGAAAACAAGAGGAATAGCACTTTTTGTTAATGCTTCAGGACAATGCTTTACTAGTGCAGTTGGCCACCCTATCAGGGGAATTCTCCAACCTCCACAAACTTATGGGGAAAAACATAGTATTTAGATGAGAAGCAGTATTTTATGTCTATATACTAAGCCACTTTTCCTTAGTGTTAATGAATTAAAATAAAGAAATTAAATAATAAACCTCATGACGTCTCAGAATTTGTGTTCAAAACTAACACAAAAAAAAATATACAAGTTTAAGGAGTTCCTTAATGATACAAATTTATCTATGGAGGTAATAACAAATCATAAATACTTTAGAACTGAGGTTGGGCAAAAAGTCCTTTAATATCCATCTGACAGAAGTGTCTGTGATTTCAAAAGCTACTCTGCTTGTCTCTTTCTGATGTAACTAACAGCTTACAAAGTTTTTTTTTTTTCAGAAGAAACGAGAAATACATACCAACAGCTTACACACTGGTGCTTACAACACATCTTCTAAGTAACAGATGGCTGAGTCCAAGTTTCTAGAAATTGAACCTACATTTTAAATTACTACACTGTCCAGTATGCTAGTGTGTCATTATTCAAAAACATGTATGGCCCTTTACAAATTCCATGAGAGCAATATTTCAGCTCAGAGAATATACAGTCAGTATTTACCATGAGATGTGATGAGAAGAAAGTACAAAGAAGACTTGCTAGATGTCTGTGTATTGTAATTAGAGACCTATATTTTTTAATTTTTCACCAATGCTTTAAAACATTCTTTTCATATCTGTCTATTTATACTTCATCCTTTCACTTTTCCCTTGGTAAGGATCATTATCTTATAGGTAAGATAATGATGAGTGTTCTTGGAGACAGTAATTGCTCTTTGCTGGGTAGATTTGGTGGCATCACAGGAAATATGTGTGCAAGAAGTCAAAAGGACTAGCATAATGTGAAGATTTGAAGTAGAAAGTCAGATAGGAAGGCAAAGGACACGTAAAGGAGAGGATCACAAAGCAATGAAGAAATTCGTTGTCATGCGTTACATATCTGGTGATCAAACAAAGCAAACAAGATGAAATAAAAATTATCAAAACTCTCTACTTCCTCATTTATTTAAAAATTTTTAAATTAAACTATTTTAAACAACTTTTATTATCCTGTAGGATGTATGGACTTCATTTCCTTTGAATTTAATGCTATGGCTGTGGTGGTTCTTTTTCTAACAGGTAACACACAGTAAGGACTCTTTAGTGTGCCCTCATGCCAATACAGAAGCCTTTCATCATTCCACTTTTCTCCTGCCTAGCACAATAAAACAATTTTATCTTTAGTATGTTTATTTCTCTGGATAATAAGCAGCTCAACTACTATTTAGATTCTGCTCCTATGCTTCAGAAGCGCTGTTGTCTCTTTGCCTCATTGTCTGAGTCTTACAGGTAAGTACATAAAACTTCTAAGAATTACATGAAGGTCCCTGTAGGGAAATAGAGTTGTTTGTGCCAATACTTTTGAAACGAACACTTAAAATGTTTCAGGCTGTTGGCCTTCTTTATCAATGCCCTAAGTATCAATTTGAATGGATTTATGTCTATCATTTGAATCATTACCAGTCTCAGTAGTACTGTATTTATGAATTAGTAGCACTGCATTATAACCACTGCCTAATAATAAAAAAAAGGCACTTGTTAACACAGACCTGAAAAAAAAAAAAAAAAAAAAAAAAAAAAAAAAAAAAAAAAAAATCAACATTTTTCTTTTTTTTGGCCACTTTTTGTTAACAAAAAGGGAGAGGTAACCTATGTTTTGTTTCTTTCTTTCTTTTTTTTCTAATTTTTTTTTTTTTTTTTACATTTCAGTACCTTACTGTGACAGCTGTTGGTTTCACATAACCATTATAATCTGTGTATCTATTCTTTGTTTCTTCCAATTTTGCTATAACTAAATTTCATTAACACTTTAGGAAATGTGAACATTTTCCTTCCATCTGCTAGATGGCTTTTAAAACCCATTTACTTTGATTTAGCAAATCTGGAAACAGCTGGCAAAAATGTATTTTTATTAAGTTCCTCAGATTCATATTTACAAGATATGTGACTTTCATAGTCTTTCTTAAGGTCTGTAATTGGTTTCTATTTCTCAACTGTACAATTTCTTTCTAAATGCTAATCAACCAGGTGGTCAGATGTTTAGTTATCATTCTGCACATTAACCAGTTTAATGTATCTCAGCTTAAATGTCTAGAACTGATGATTCAAATGATGTGCTTAAAAACTATAGGAACGGTTATTTAGTTTTTAGCCCTTACATTCTTTTACTTTTTAATTCTGAAGTTGATTGTGACGATTAAGTAATCTAAAAAAGAACATGAAAAATAAGTTGTGTGCACTGGGTGCCTGTATACAAAAGTGTTGATGTTTTGCAGGCTCAAATCTACCATCAGGGTAAAAGACTGGGAGATAGAGACTGGTCTATGCCCTTCTTGTTAGCTTTTTCTGCTTAGTTTTGGATGTGAGAGCCTATATACACTACTTTTATTCACCCTTAACTTGCTCTGATTCTACAACACCAGCCCTTCTGCTGCTAGCAAAACTCATCAATTTGTTTCTACAGTGACTAGTCCAGGATTCTGGTCTTTCAGAGCTGCAGAAGATATGTCCATGTGTCTGAATCTCTTGACATTAAAAAAAAGATGGAAGATGGTTTTGAGACATATTCTTTGATCTGTTACATCTACTTAGGGCTGTCCCCTGCCAGCAGACTTTAACTATTAAAGCAGGGTTAAGGTAGCCAGTGCGAAATGTGATGGTGTGAAAGCAGATTCTCAACAGAATGATGCTTTAAAAAACCCACCAAGCAGCAAAACCTTTCACATCACTTGCCCAACAAGCTTCATACTGTTGTAGTAAAACAGCACCACTGAGATGTTTTGTATCACAAAAAAACCACTTTGTATTGAACATATATAAATATATATGAGAAAAACTTTAGGAGAAGAGTATAGTTCTCTCTCAGGCATGGTTATGGCAATGTTAAATATAATCACATTTTTGGGATTTCTGGAAACAGGCAATACACAACAGCTACAATCTTTTCCTACAAATTGTCAGCAACTTTGAATCAAAATAATTATAAGCATTGTCATTTAGAATTGCACAACATCTTTTACCTTTACCAAAGCATACTAGGAACTGAATTCAAAGTCATGATGAGAGCTGTCTGCCTTGCCACCAATTGTCACAAATCATACTTCCCAAGTGCTAGAAGCAAACCTAACCAAAGATAGAAAATCCCATGATGCCAAAATATTACTTTCCCCTTAAAAAAAACCTTAACAACACCCATACACACAAACTCAAAAGAATTAAATTTGCCATTTAAAAAATCCTTAAAAATCACAATTCATGAAAGACAGGACATATACCTATAACATGTAGTTCTTTGGATAACTTGGTCCCACTGGGCACATACAGTCATTCTGTCTTTGAAGGGAGCTACTGGCTTTAGTTCACAGCCTACTCTACCAAAAGAACAAAACAAAAACCCAACCAATCCCCAAAACACATTTAGGAAGTTATCAATACAGTTGTCTCTTTTTCTAAGGTTACTCCCCATCCCAGGAAAAAAGAGAACATGTATCAGTGTTGCTAAAGGCAGTCATCATTTTACTGGTGGATCAAGCAAAGTCACAAAGCTACATAGGCTGAGGTGTGGGATAGGAACCTTCACATGGGTTTCTTCTTCTGGTTTACTGCAAACAACTGGCATATTTGCTGCTGGACAAGTCTGGTAAAGAAGTACACTGACTTTCTCATCTACTACCCAACGCTAGCTACACAGTGATATATGACTCAAAGGAGGTTCTGGAATTCCTGAAGGTCACAGGATCAGACACAGTCATCAGATGGAATAGCTCATCCCATTTTCCAAGCTGAGCTGTGACTGTCCTGTCAAGCTTGTGAAGCACCACCAATTAATCCCTCATTGCTACTGAAAAAAACCTCATGCAGTGAATGCATTTACGTTTATGTCATTTTTGGAGGTTTGAGTTTCTAAAATAAAACCTAGATTTAAGTACTAGATGTGGCTCTTGGTCTTATTGCCATGAAAAAAGGGTAGAAGATTTTCAGGCCTGACAAACAAATTGTAAAAAACAAACAGTTTTAAACCCCAACAACAACCCCCAAACTAACTAACTAAAAATTAAACTGGATTTTTACAAAATCTGTACCATGATCTTTGTGTATGGTGTTGAGTTAGTCTCTCGCAATAGAGAGTTAGCTTTATAGAACAATGAGGCAAAACTGGCAGTCTCTGAGGTAACAAAGGATACAGCAATGTTCATATTCTCTCTGAATACTGGGAACTCCAGGAGCCAGAAGGCAGAAGCTTTCTGTAAAACTGTCCAAGAGGACAAATGTAGGGCCTTGGAGCATAATTAAGCAAATAACTACTTCTGTTTGACATTTTTCACTAAAGAACATATTATGTCCTATGAATTCACAACGTGCAATTAAACAACACAAAACAAAACGTTCTCCCTTCTCCTGTTCCCCAAATAAAGTAATCCAAGGACAATCACTTTGAATTTCTGGCTGTATTAGCCAGTACAGCCATCAAATATTCAGCTGAGAGTCTGTCTGAGTACAAATGCTTTAAGCTGCACTCCAAAAGTCAGCAAACATAAGAAAAAAAATACCACTTCACCACTACGTACAAGATTATGAGTAATTCCCTTCAGTTATTTAAAGAAGATTATACATCCAACCACCTTCTTGTCCATATCTTTATGCTTCCAAAGAAAAATAAAGGAAAAACACAGCATTAGGTTGAGTATTTGCTGTATTCTAGAGATCTAATATGCATTGTTTGTGGAATATGTATGAAATGGGACCAAATTGAACGCCTTCACCTTGTTAACTTAAAATGTAACGGGACAGATGTTTACAAATTGCTAGTTATCCTACATTATCAAATATTCAGCATCAGTCTTAAATTAGTTTCCTTATTATTGCTTCTCAAGGTTACACAATACTACCTGAACTGAAGATGTATATTAGTACCACTCCTGATACAGAAAACAGGGAGAATGTTTAAAATATCATTGGTGAGTTTGCTTTGCACAAGAAAAAAACAAAAAAACTTATAGCATAAGATGATTCCTACTTTTTCCACCTGCAGTCTGATTCACTGACTATGCAGTATAGCAGTAAGAGGGAGTCTGATTCACTGACTATGCAGTATAGCAGTAAGAGGGGGCACAATCTTGGTGAAATGCACATCCGTAAGGGCCTTCTTGACACTCCCTAATGTCCTAATGGCAAGATCTGGGGCACCAAGTAGGTGTCTAAGATCCCACAGCTCAGGATCAGGAGGGATGGGTGATGCTTCTTGACAGGGCATTTATGAAAATGTGTCAAATTTAGATATTTTTTGAATGCCCTCTATTTTGAGTCCTCTACCTCTAATCAAGGGATTTCTGTTCTTTATCTTGTAACCTGTAATGTGCCAAGGCTTTCACCTTCCAACTGGGCACGAATAACTATTTTATTCATGTATTTTCAGAACTTCATTTGCCAAAAAGTGCATATAAACTTGAAAAATTCATATTTTTAAGGCAGCACTAAGTATGAAAACTTTCAGTCACAATTTCAAATATACCTGACTAATGTATCTGTATTGAAATGTAAATTTCATGAAAAATACATAAATACTAATTTATACAGTAGGCTTGCTCTAAAAGGTCCCCTGATGTAGAAAATTGGAAGACCAGTCATTCAGGGGTGAGAGAAGGAGAGCACCCTAGGAAGCATATCTATTGTGAGTTTCTAGGTAAAAGCTAAGCCAAACCCTTCTTAGCATTGTGCTCATACCATTTCACAGACATTACAGATGTGTTCACTGAAAGAAGAGAATTCATCCCACACTATGCATTCGTTGGAACAAGTTTATAAATGGAAAATGGAGTTTTAGAATAGAAAAAGCACTTTTGCTAGGTTCAGGCTAAAGGGAGAACATCCTGGTGACTAAAATGACTGCATGTCACTGTTTCTTTGCTCCCTTCTACATACTGCACTTCATGGGTACACAGAAACAGGC